CAAATGGTCAGCCTGCAGCCCAGGGACCTACCCCTGGGAAGCCCCCTCCCACCAACACCTTTCTCCAGGGAGTGGCAGATGGACTTTGGAGTGGGCTTCCACTCCCACCAGCACTCTGGCCCCTGTGGCAGTACTCACTCTCCAGAACAAGTTGCCCTGAGAGCCTGGCCCTGGCCCACCTGGCCCTGGTGCAATTTGCTGGGTGCACCCACAGCTCAGAGACTGGCCAAGCAGAGGAGGACAACAGTTACAGCTGCCAAATGCAGCAGATGGCAAAGCAGCTGATGCATCCATCAATCTGCTATCAGTCCTCCCAGAACTTCTCCATATATCCTGCCCTAGGAATAGAACTCTTGACAAAAGCAATGGCATCAGGCCAGGGATGTCACATTTCATGTCAAGTGAATCACAGAACCTCTGAGTTGGAGGGCACATTACAGTCCCCTAACACGAGTCCAAAGATGAGGACTCACCTTCCTTGTCACTCCTTTAGAAACAGCACCCCCAGCCCTCCCGGGGCCTCCTGTGACAGAAAGCTCACTCCCTCCAGGTGGCTCTTTGTCTTCAGACTGCTCTTGTGCTCCCAAAGGCCTTCTTCACACCTGACCAACCTCTGTCTCCCTACCAGTTCCAGTATGACCATAGCTTGGCCCTCTCCACTCCAGTATTTTCAGTCACTGGGCAAAAATTCAGATTTCTCTCAAGAGAGCCTGCCACAGGCTTCTCCTTCTGAACACTACCTCTTCTTCCAAGATTCCTGCATTTGCTTCTAAGAAGTGAAGAGCACATCCACCCCGGGACTTCAAACCCCTTTCTTGCCTGTGTCCCCAGGCAGGTCTGGCCAGCAGCCTGCTAAGTGCATCTTCAGCAGACTCCCCAACCTGGAGTCCAGCTCCCAGAAGAGAGCACTTCCAGTTGGCCTGGACAGCCCCATCTGTCTGCCAGCAGTCACTTTTGAGTCCCTTCTCAACAAGCACCAACAACCATCGGTACCTCCCTCAGAAGCCAGACAAAACCCTCCTCACAGTCAGCACTTGTAAAATACTCCAGTTCAGCCCAGCAAATATTCCAGCAAATACCTAATGTGCACCCAACAGTCTGGGACCCAACAGCAGAGAGCTTATATATCTATACACACAGTGTCCTCAAAGACTATACAGACCAGTGAAGAAAGATGGGTCCACAGACAACAGGCCGAGAAAGCACTGAAACAAAGACTCCAACACTTGCTGAGGCTCATACGTCAGGGAGAGCAGACTGCAAGAAAGGCCAAGAACTCTGACGCCAAGACAGCCTGGATTCAAATCTCAGACCTGCCACCCTCTAGCTGTAACATCAAAGGCAAGTTACTTAACCTCACTAGCCGTAGCTTCCTCATCTGTAAAATGGGGATTACACCTACCCGGCAGGATTGCTGTGGAGACTAGAGATGCTGGATGTACAGCACCTAGACAATAGCAGTGGTCAGCGTTATTCGGTAGGAAGCAACCTTTGAACTGTACCTTTTAGAGTTGGTCAAATTTCTGAGACCAACATTGGGAGTAAAAGCTTAGTGAGGAGTGAAGAGATTAGACACCTGGGGCTTGTGCAGTGCAGGGGCTGGGGCAAGCATGGGGCCTGTGCTGGAGGCTACAGGATCAGTATTGTGGGGCAGGGTGCTAAAGGAAAAACAACTTGGTGTGCTTCCTCTACCACTGGGTCCACTGGGGATGTCAAAGCAGGGCTCTACATACTCTCTGGGCACAAGGGCAGCCTGGAACACTAAATCTGCCCTCGCAAGTGGCTGCTCCTCCTGCAGAGCTGCAAGTCCCCCACACGCCCTCTCTTCCTAAACTACAGCTCACACAGCACCATGTGGAGCCCACTCTCCTGAATCCCTGATTTTCCCTAAACACCTCCAGGTGGCCAGGCATCCTCACCCCAAGCTGGGATTATTCCAGCATCCCCCAGGGGGTCTTCCTCCTGCTAACCTCCTACAACACTTTCTGCAGCATCCCTTCACTATCAAGAACCCAGAGGGCTCCCTCCCTCCCACCTAACACATCAAATCCCTAAGCAGTCCCCAGCACTACACAACTCCCACTAAGGAACACCAGGCCTGTCCCCAGCCTCTTCAACTTTTGCCCTTTACTCCCCGCAGCACCAAACAACCTCCTATTTATTTTGGAGCACAGCCAGCAAGATCGCCTACTCTGAGTCGCCTCTTTCTCAAAACCCACCCCTTGCAGGAAGCCCTCAATTCAAGTCCACAGAAACCACTGAGCCTGACAGGGGCTGCATGGATGGAGCCCTCAGGGAACAAACACACTGCACAGGGCCTGGTATACACGAGACACCACTATGAGGGAGGAGGGGAACAGACACAATGCCCCTAGAAAGGCAGCCAGTGTTATGAGACTTACTTTCTAGTGAGGAAGCATACCCCTCCAAACTCTGCTGAGCATAGAAGGGGTGGTCCCTCATCTGCACAAGGAGCTGACAGCAACACCCTCTCACCAGGGCATGATCTCAGGTTTTCTGGTAGGGCCTTGCTGACTCAGATGGCCTTCACATGGACAAACGACTATCACACAGTGTAAGGCAGATGGCTGGACGGAGGGCGGGGCAGGGCCCAGCCCTAAGAAAAGGGGCCAGCCCAGCAGCCTGGCCTGAGTCCTACAGCCCATGGTCCAGACTGCCCAGGCCCATGGCCCATGGCCCATGGCCCATGGGTTCAGTCTGTGGCCATTTCCTATTCCTAGTTCTCTCTCCCCAGGCAATCTCTGGTTCCGTGGGCATGGGGAACAGTTAGGTCTCTCTGCGTTTTCCCCAGATTCACTTGGGGATAGGCAGGACTAGAAGCTGAACAGAAAGACGGATGCTTGGTCCCCAGGTCAGAGAGCCTGACCTAATGATGAGGGCCCTTTACCCAGAAAACACCCCAGACAAATCCTTCCCAACCCAGAGCCCTCCTCAGAGGGTAGTGGAATCTGTTCTCAGGGTCAGCCAAGCTCCTGTAACAGACAAGTGCTGCCAGGGTCGACCAGTGATTTGACTCTGATGTTTTCAGCTCTAGGTGAAGGGTACTGGGCACTGAAGGCTGGGTAGTACCCCTTTCCCCCCAGACTCATGCCCTGTGATTCTAGCAGGGTGGGAAGAAGACTCTCAGGACCCAGTCTTTTGGCTAGAGTAGGAGTGGGAAGCCTGAATCCCTTCCCCACCCCATTCATTTGTCATTCTCCCACCCCCAGATAATCAATGGCCAGTTAGCAAGACTCTACAAGTTCCAGTTAGATAAACTGCCTGATCAACAACTGCCAGAATCAGGAACTCTTGTGCAAACCTACAGAATTTTGGGAAGTCTCTCCTCTGTCAGCACTTTATGGAAACCTCCTTCCCATAGCTAGACTCGATGCCCCCTGCCCCCACCAGCTGGACCCTCAACAGCCTGGCACCATTCAGAGCTCCAGGGGCTGGGCTCCTAGAACACAGCAAGCCAGGCAGAGCCTTGGCACAGCAACTGCCTCTGTAAGATGGATTCTGGGTCTTCTGACCTGCAATCAGACCCAGCCCAGAGTGTAAGCCAGATGGTGTCCTTTGTGACCACCGCAACCACAGCCTGGGCTTCCTGCCAGTCAGCATTTGTTTTTGTTGATTCCATTTGGAATCAGGAAGAAAATGTGAGAAACTTTAGGGGAGAGGTGGAGAATGCCCCAGTTTTGCCTTCATCTGTGGCCAGCCACTACATCTTCACCAAGGCCAATCCACCAGGAGTTTGGAAGGCCAGAAAGGGGGTACAGCCAGAGCTCCTTTCCTGCAGAAGCACTGCCAAGCTGATGCTTCGTTGCCTCCAATATGGGCTGGGGCTGACATGCCCTGGCTAAGCTTTTCCTCCTCCAGCATCACAAGAAAAGCTGGTGGAGGAGCCTCTTGGATAGGAATCACATACCTTTCCAGTCCCTGACGGCAGTAGGAAGAGGAAAGAAAACTTCCTTTATTCATACCAGTCTTAGCCAGAGGGAGAAACTCTGAATACCCCAGGCCCCAAAGGTGATGGCGCCCCTGCCCCACCCCATCCAGCCAAGTATCTGGACATACCTGGCAAGCCTCTTTTAAGCCAGCTTGCCCCTTGTCCCTATTGGACCCATCCTACAGCCAGGACTTCATTCCAGGCCCTGTTGCCCAAGACAAACACAGGGGGACATGGTTCCTACTAACCCCAGGATGCCAGTCTCTCAACCTTAGGCACCCACAGATCTATCTTAAAATTTCAGTTTCAGCTGCAACCTCATGTGGTTCTCCAGAGCCTATATAAGAACAACTGAATTTCCCAGGTGCCCCTACAAGATCCTCTGTCTGACCTCAGCTACATATGAACCTGCTGCTCAAGCCACTGCCCCAAGCCAGCCTCCTGCTTTCTCAGTCCTGTAACTTTGCAGATGCCATCCCCCTTCTCCCAATCTGACTCCTCTTGGCCATTCTCCAAAGCCCAAGTCCCACCTTCTCCAACCCTCTGACCACCCAGTCCACTTTTATGGCACTTGCCTAAACCTTCGTTCCTCCAAGTGAAGTCTGCAGGCCAGTAGCATCAACATCACCTGACTACTTGTTAGAAATGCAGAATCTCAGGCCCCAACCAGCCCTACTGACTCAGAATCAGCATTTTAACACAATCCCCAGGTGATCTATACGAACATTAAAGTCTGAGAAGCACAGGCCTCTACCACTCCCTGACACAGAGCCCTGCTGGCACTTCACTTTTCTGCACAGATGTGAGGATAGACATGATTAGAACAGGACCTAGCACCACCCTAACCAGTCATTCACTTCACAGCCAGATGGCCTTCCCAGAAACAGAAGTGACACCTCCTTCAAATACCTGCCAGGACATTTTGACATCACCCGCCTGGCCCCTTGCGTATGGCCCACAGAGCACGTCCTTTTGACTGAGAGCTGCAGGATACATCCCCCGGCTCAGGGGCCTCCCTGACATCCCCAGAATTGGGGCAGGGCAGACTCACCTCCCCCGAGTAACTGTACTTGCCCCTGAGGATCTGCCGGTACAGCCGGGTGCGGTTGTCATCCTCAAAGGGCATCGTGCCACTGAGCAGGATGTAGGCGATGACACCCAGAGCCCACATGTCTACTGAGTTGGTGTAGGGCTTGCGGACCAGGACCTCAGGGGCGATGTACTCAGGTGTGCCACAGGTGGTCTTCATCAGGCAGTCATCACCCTTCTTGCGGGCACTGGCCAGGCCAAAGTCGGTGATGATGATCTTGGAGTCTGTGCCCGGGTGGTAGTAGAGCAGATTCTCAGGCTTGAGGTCTCGGTGTGTGATGCCCAGTGCATGCAGATACCGGACGCCATCCAGCACCATCTGCAGCACCCGCGTGGCATCACGCTCAGTGAAGGAACCCTTGGCAATGATGCGATCAAAGAGCTCTCCACCAGTGGCCAGCTCCATCACCATGTACACACGCTCCTGCGTCTCAAACACCTCCACCAGCTGGATGATGTTGGCGTGACGCACCCGCCGCAGCACACGCAGCTCCGACTCACACACCTCCCGTCCCTCCCGGTACTTGGTTTCAATCATCTTGATGGCATATGGCTGCCGTGTCGCTCGGTGCTCCACGCGTACCACCCGACTGAAGCTGCCTCGGCCAATTAGGGCCTTGATGTCATACTTGGCCGTCACACGCGGGTCGAATTTGGCCCTGTACTTGGCTACCCTGGCCCTGCGTGGCGGTTCTGAGGGAGGCTCTGTGTGGCCAGTAGTGGGGGCACCAGGACAGGGGTGTGCGTGCTGATTGGCTGCCAGGGACCCAGTTTTGAGAGGGCCAACACTGTCCACCTCCGTGATGAAGTGCTTGTACACATCACTCTTGGTGCCACTGAAGGGTTCCACCTTCTTGACCAGATCCAGCTGGACATCCTTGGGCGGCTCAGGAAGGACCTTGCTTGTCCCACAGCCCATCACGGACACGGGGGCATCCTCTCCAGCACGGCTGGCAGGACCTGCTCTGCAGGCAGCGCCCCGTCTACACCTACACAGTCAGAAGAGAGGGCAAGTCAGTAGAGCCAGAACACCTCTGAATGGACACCAGCCATCCACCTCCCCACCTGCCGTCTGTACACCAGGGGGCTGTCAGATCCCTTCCCCCACCCTACTGTCCTCAGGGACTCCAGAGGACCGATCTCAGGCCTCTGCCCTTACCCTGATGCTCTCACGTCCTCAGCCAGGACTGTGTGGCTGGTTCCCAAATCACTGTGTCCAACCCTGTCTGCCCCAGACACTCCCTGCTCCTCATCTTCTCCTGGGCCACACCATGCCCCTGTCAATGGTGCAACGCTACTGCCAGGTACCTGGACCCAATATAGCTCTCATTCTACCCTCCCTCCTCACCCCCACTGCAACATGTCACAGTTCAGGCGCCCTCACTACCTCCCACCAGGGAACCCCTACAACAGCCTTCCCCTCCTGTTCTCCCTATAACAATCTACCTGACACTTTCCAGAAAGATTAATCTTGGAAATCTTAGCTTGTTACAGCCTGTTCACTGCCCATCAGGTGAAGTTCAAACTCTTTGGTGGGACAGTCAAGGCTCTTCTCAATCTAGTTCTAGAGGATTTCTTCCATTTTTATTACCCACTACTGCTCCCTCCATCAATCCCTCATTCCAATCAAACACATCATTCCCACATACACATGCCATATTTTCACATCTCTCTGAACTTTCTGTTCCCTCAGTCGGTCATCCCCAACCTTACTCAACTTCCCAAGTACAACTCAAATGGAAGCCTTTGAGCCTTCCCTGAGGGTTCCAGTTAAGAATCATCTTCTCTTCCTCTGAATTCCATCACCTAATATCTGCCTCTCTCAAGGACTCATCTTGTACCACGTTGATACACAATCTTCATGCCTCTCCAGGGTGCCTGGATCAAGGCCATGCCCATCGAAGGTGACCAGCATATGTTGCTCCAGAAATGGCATCATGCTCACACTGTACATTCACAAGGCCATTGCTACCCTGTGACAAGCCAGTCACCGGATTTCCTACTAAAATGCTCCCAAACATGTCTAAAAGGATTAAGGATAATTGTTTTTCTTTATTTCTACATTTTTCAAAACTTTTATGTTGAGCCATTTTGCTTTTCTACTTCAGAAAGTAATTAAATTTTAAAAAGAAGATGGCCCTCCCTGCTTAATGGACATCTAGCTAATTTCAGCCTCCCACACACTCTTTCCTGCCCCTCAAAAAACTTAGCCTGATTAAGACTGAAGACCTGCCTCTAACACAGTTCCTTGGAAGGGAGGATGGCTTTGGCCCCTGAGTTCTTGGAGCCCAGACTCAATGGAGGGTCTAGATGAGAGGCTAGGTCTGAGTGCCATGGTCTTGACTTAAGCTCCTTGGTGTCTGAGCCTCATGTTAGTCTTCAGCCCTGAGAGAGGGACAGAAGTATGCACCAGGCTCAGCTGTCACTGCCCCCATCTCCTCCCTACTCTGCTTGGGTCCCTTATCCTAGTTGAATTTCCATGATTTTTAAATGTGTAAATCATTCCTTTTTACTCCGACTCATCTTTTCTTTTTTTTAATTGATGTAATTAAATGAAGTTTACATTTCAAGTTAGTCTCCCATACAGAATTTTTTTTTTTT